TTGCTATATGACTGCCGATCTCACACACGTCAATGGGATCATTATCCCCGCCATATTTTGTATCAGGATCGACATAATGTGGATTTTCCCATGTCTGAGGTAGACAACCATAATTAACCAAAGACGCGCTGTGGTACATCCGAGGAGCGCCTTTACGTTCATCCTGCTTAATGGGGTTATATTCCTCCTCGCCTGCGATTTCCATTTTAGCACGCGAACCTTTTGCAATCTCATTGATAAAGTGAACGACAGAAACGTCGTTATTTTCTCGTGAACAATCTAGTGTGAGATTAGCATACAGAGGCACGTGGTGCCATGGTGACTGCTTCCGTCCAAGCTTGTCGTAGAAATAGTAACGACATTCGAGGGTGCCTGGATTTCCTTGGCAGCGCACGGTATGCTAACAATACAAATATAGTAAAAGACATCAATAATAATCACCTAAGCAAATACATTTTTAATCCAACACACAAGACGTTTGATAGTTGCTGCACATGATTTCCTGATACGCGCATGCAGCGTTGGACTGATGACCATTGCACTTTTCGAACCTTGCTATTGAAATGATGTACCTTCATAACAGCATACTTGGCAATCACCGGTACTCTACCGTAGCTTTTTCGTTTGAAATATACAGTGTCCATATTTGATAACTTCAATTTTTAAACCGCATTTTGTCATGGCGACGCTGCTGGACACGACGATGGAGGCGTTGGAACCTGAGGCGCACACGGATAATAATCTGCGTGTACCACAAAGCGTAGAACCCGAAACTGATGCTCCCGAAGACGAGGACGACGATGATGAAGATTTTAACTTTGACGCGCCTGTGTATTACGACCTTAAGAACCCGTCGTTCGAGCAATGCTATGTTAACAACGCAGACGGCTACTTTTCGCCTACTAAAAAATCATCTGCCAATTCCAAGGAATCATTTAATAAGGTGGAGAAAACTTGTGTATCAAAGCCTTCGGCTGCTGTTGCTTTCAATAAAAAATATGACTATGCAGGAAATACGAAGATGAATGGAGGTAATCAAGACGCTATTATAATTGACAAGACTATACTGGACACTACCATGGTAGATGCAGAAACTGTGGAGACCGTCTTGAACACGAGTAACTTGTTGGACGATAGAGATGAGAGCTTCGAGGAAGTATTTCGCCACTATGCATCGTCATCTCAGTCATCCGCCACGTCTTCGTATCTTCTCCATGATCTAGACACTTCTACACATAGCTCCACTCACAACAGTCGCTATTCTTCCTACGGCTCAGCAACATACAGTAATGGCGGTACGTCGAGCGGCAGCTCACCAGTATTGTCGTCATCTGCTGCTACAAGAACAGGAAGCGGGTCAGCGTACAATGGTGAACTAGCCGAAACCAGATTTCGAGCTGCCGATACTATTGTTTCGTCCAAACTGATGCAACCGACTCAGTCCTACTTAAGAAGAGTTCAGGCAGAGCAGAAGATGAGAGAACAGATTTATATGGAAGATATTTCTGTGGACGAAAAGCCGCCACGCGTGACGCAACCGAAAAGTCCGAAGCTTCATACAAAAACGCGACAAACAAATTCCAATGATTCGTCTCGAATGAGCAGCACAAGTCGAGAGTTGCTGAAAATTCAAGAAGAACGACTGCTTTTGCAGCTGGAAAAGCTGAAAATTCGCGAATTTCATGAAAAAACCAAAGTACAACGACCACCAACTAATGTACATCAGCGATCGACGAAGCAGCTGACGATTCCACAGACTCCACATTTTGAAGTCGACAATCGAATACGACGCCTGAAGAACAAAAGTGGCGCAAGTGATTTCGGACACGATCAAGTGCAGCCGCCGCTAGCTGCAGAAAAGCTATTGACACGTGATTTTTCGCTTTCATTGCCATCACATCGAGAAAATCGTCATACGGTCACGGTTAGTATCATTCAAAAGCCAGATGGAATTTGATGGATCTTATGTACTCTCTTGCACAATAATTGTAGACACCGCAGTCTCCCCATCTCCGTACTGCGTCGAGAGCTGCTCATCGTCCGCCGCCGGCGCCACTTTCACGTAAACAAGAAAAGCCTGCCATCTCGAGCAACACTCATCCTACTAATGGTGGCCTGACGCAGGTGGGTTATTTGTGTTCATTCTATCATTTGTTACATTAATTTGGTGCATCTTTCCATGTGAGACAAAAGCCCATGACTCCTCAACTGGAAACGAGTCGTCGGGCAGCCACGCATCATCGACCTATCAAATTTGTTGATCATGATGCAGAAGAGTTGGCAAAAAAGTTTCATGCCAGGCCTTTGAGCAAAAGTATTCTTGAACCGAAATTTTATTCTAACTACTCTCCTGCCAAAACCGACACTAAATCTCGTTCAACTCAGCCGACAGCAGTCACAGCAAGCCGATCAAGTGCCACCGTATCTGCTGCTGAGGTAGATCGTCGGTGTAAGATACGTGAACAACGACTGAAACTAGATCAAAGAGGTCCAACAGTTCAGCCTAAATCAGTGCCGCGTCCAGTTCGTCAACCTGTAATTCCTGAAACCCCACCACTTAAAAGTATTCAACTTCATCGAGAATACCAGGAGAACTTCCGTCGCAAGATTGAGGCTGAGAAAAAAGAGACAGAAAGACAGCGCCAATTTAAAGCGAATCCGATTCGTGTGGTTTCAAAACCTGTGCAATTTGAGGGATCAACTAAGCCGTTGACGGAAGTGAAGCCATTTCAGTTGCCTGGAGAGAGGTACGTAGATCAAGCGCGCGCACGCTTGGAGCAAAAAAGATTAGAGGAAGAAGAACGTCTAAAATCTTTGTGCACATTTCGCGCGAAGCCCATGCCTGTTTTTGAATCCGATAGTGTTCAAATTGTGGCAAGTAACAAACCTCTTACTCAGACTGAGTCCCCAATGTTGGCAACGAAAAGCCGAGCTGCAGAACGCGCTGCGTTTGAAGCAGCAGAAAAAGAACGTCGTGAACGAGAAGAAGCATTTCGTTTACAGCAAGAGGAACAAGAGCGACAGCAGAAAGAAGAAGAAATTAAGCATTTGCGCCGAAAGGAGATGATTTTTCATGCTCGTCCTGTGCCAGAGTCAAATATAACCAGTAGCAGCGGAATATTAACCGATTCTGCCTGAACGCTACATCAAGAAGGTAACGGCAGCACTTTGAAATTTATAGCTTCGCTGTCTCACAGACACATCATGATGCCAATATTTTTTGAGACGAGCAACCCGTCAAAGGGCAAGGTGAACTTCGCAAATTGTAGTACTCACCAATTGATAAAAGTCATAGCTTTGTCTTGTCTTGCCTGTCTTCTTATTTACTTGGCGTAGTCAAGATAAATGTTAGTAGAAGACAAAAGGATCATGATATGGATTATACAATACGTGTTCTTCCTGCTGTCATTTTTTATCTTTTGGTGCAAATGTGATGAGATTGTGGATTTACTTTCTCCCTTCAGCGACTTGAAGAACCTGGTGGAACAAGTAGCAAAAGACGCAGCAAAAGTTGATACTGTCAAAGTTGCTGATCGAAAATATCCATTGGCGTCTATCGAAATGGGCGCACTGGAGCAGATCTATCGAGACTGCGGCACGCAAGAATCCATTGCTTTGCGCACGTGGTGCATAGACACTGATGAAAAGTGGCATTTTCGTGAGTCAAGCGAAAACAAACGTCTGTGTCCGCGAGGTGTTACGACACATCCATGTACAGGCCGGATACTACATCGCAAAAGAAGTTTGATAGAGGAAGAAGTTGAGTACTTGCGGCCATGGGAAGGCATTCGTTGCGACGCTCTTACAGAGCCGACCACACTTACACATATGTACGTCAACAGTCTGTCCATGTAATCTATTCTGCTTTACATGGGGCTCTTGTAGCTATCTTCCACGACAGTCATTGCGATGTGAACTTGCCAAACTTGATTTGAGTGTCATGATTTCGCTTGAACAGCTGTATGTTGCGTCTTGGACCTTATCAAGCAACGACAAACTAATTGTTTTTCAATTGTAGCGACTTATCAGACAACGAGCTATTTGGAGGCTTTCCTGACTGGTTAGGCGATATGACAATGTTGAGACTGCTTAATCTTCGTGGAAATCATTTTTCGGGACATATTTCGTCGTCATTAGCTGGCAACGATGCTCTCGAATTGATGTAGATGCTCTTTATTGCACCAGTCAATCCCTGGACCTGATTACGTGAGTGTATGATCCAGCAATTTATCCAACAACAAGCTAACAGCGTCCACACTGCGCTACTTTGATGCTTTTCATCGGCTTCAACACTTGTCCGTGAGCTATCCATTCGTTGCTTTCTTCATATTAACATGTTTTGAGTGCCAGGGATCTTTCAAACAACAACATCGATCTAAGATTATCTAGCAGCTTGTTTATCAGCGAGTCCTTGCGAAGCATGTATCATTAAATCTGATTGCTTGCATCACCTCTTCTCCTGTATTTAACTACCGCTTTATGCCGAACCAGCAATATCAGCTACAATGGGTTTCACGGAGATCTTTCAATGTTGCCAGCCTTTAAATTTCTCGAGTCTTTGTGAGCTTCTATCTTAAATGCTGTAAGCTGCTAATTTCTTACTTGTTCGTGCATAGCGACGTGTCGAACAATTTTCTGACGGGAAATATCCCACCGCAACTTTCACTTTGGGGCCGTGAAGACCCTCACGACCCCGACGAAAACTCTTCTTTAGCCATCGTGTATGCAAGCTTTGTATTTTAATTCTAGGCTTCTCGCGCTGAAATATTGACCTAAATTGCTGCATGTGACAGTGACGTTTCAAACAACATGTTCACCGGGAATCTACCAGAGATTTCGAACCAGTCAGTCTTGCAACGCTTGTAAGTCGTCAGCGCATATTCTTATCAACGTAGCAATGATCGAAAATTTATCTTCTTTCGCTCCAGCAATGTACGCAATAATGGCTTCGGCGGACACATTCCTACATTTTCTCCGTCATTGTAAGATACTCACTGACACTTCCAGACTGACATCAGCCCTAATTATCCTTTTTTAGGCAGAAATTTGCAAGACCCGATGAATTTGACGGCAATATGTTTATGTGTCCGGTGCCCGCTGAGCTAATACAAAGCAAACTTTATTGTGTTTGTGGGGACGGCTTTACCGTCAAGTCGACAGTGCAGCCTTCAGTTTTTAAATCTGCTGATGCGACTGGTGCCTCAGAACATTTGGTGCTGGCAAGCGAATTTGCTAACCGTTGTGTACGATGCTCCAAAGGCTTTTACTCAAACTATAGTACTCGTCAACAGTGCCGCCCATGCCCACCTGGATCTGTTCCAGATTTAAATTCAGGCAAAAGAGCTGCCAGCTGCACATTTTGCCCTTCAGGTTCTTTTGCTATCGAGAAGGCTTCGCATTCGTGCACACCATGTCCACCGGGAACATTCGTGAACGGGACTGGTGCAACATCGTGTGACTTGTGCAATCCAGGAGAATTCGCAACACATCCGGGCTCTTCAAGTTGTACTGCTTGTGCTGTTGGGTCCTATGCAAATGTAACGGGGATGTCTGCTTGCACTTTATGTCCACCGGGAACGTACGTGAATGTTGAGGGCGAGGCGGCTTGTCGTATGTGCCCGATTGGTACGTACAACTCGGGTCGATCTGTTGGGTGCAGTTTGTGTCCAATTGGATCGAGTGCGCCGCAACTTGGTCATGTCAGGTGCTCCTCTTGTTCCCCTGGAAAATTCTATGATATCAACACCAAAGCCTGTACATTTTGTCGCCCAGGTACATACACTAATAAATCCGGGCAAACTGAATGCAAACTGTGTGAGAGCGGCACTGTGGCAGAAAAATTTGGCAGCGACACTTGTGCTCCTATAGCAGCTCCTGGATCGGGATACGATACTTCGACGACTTTAGTGAAGTGCAAACCAGGAACATTCAACGATGGCAAGTTGAGGACGTGTCAACCTTGTCCGATAGGAACTTTTGCAGCAAATCGAAGCTCTCGGACGTGTTTGTTATGCGCAAGAGGTAGCTATGCAGCCAATGTTGGCTCTGCACACTGTAAATTAGCGCCTCAAGGTTCGTTTGTCCGGTTCGAAGGTGCGAATCGAACAGAGCTCTGCGATCCCAACACCGTTACTGCAAAGGAAGGATCAACATTTTGTATTCAATGTGCGACGCCTTCATTTAGTTTTCTGCCTGGTGGCGTTAAGTGTGGTCTTGCTAGACCAGGAGAAGTTTACGATCACGTGAAGTGGCCTCGCTTAGCTTTGAGCTTGGCAGGTGTGGAGCTACGAGATCATGTTAACGCATCAAGTGATCAAGAATCACGACTCGAAGCACTCATTCACATATGGACGGAAATGCTGGTAAGCTATTCGGGTTTGAGTTGTGTGCTGCACGTGTTGCAAGTGGTATCCAGGCCAAATCATTCCACCCAGATTTTTGTTGCGGTTGAGCCGACCATTGGATCAGCAAACGAGAGTCAATTTGACCAAAGAATGAAAAATTATGTCGGCGATACTATACAGCATGTTGTTGAAGCTGCTAAAAAGACAACAGAAACTTTTTTGAGTAAACCTGATCTATCTCAAATTGACAACAGGGATAAAGAAAATGATGTCAATCAACTCAGACATCTAGTAAGATCAAAATTGTTTCAAGAAGCGTTGGTACGCCAGATCAATCGTGCTAATCTGATAAAGTGGCCGTTGTCCTATGGTATGGTCAACCTGTCAATGGTCGAACCTCCATTTAGCTCAACTCGGGCATTAAAATGCCCCTTTGGAACATATTTCTCGACAACGAAAGACTTGAACAAAAACGAACGCAAGTGTCTACCGTGTCCCATTGGATCGTATTCCAGAGTAAGTGGTGCTTTGCAATGTGAACTATGTCCTCAAGGATCCTTTTCATCAGAAAAAGGACAAAATTCATGTCATTCGTGTCCGCTCGGTGCTGATGCTACACCTGGCTCTTCGTTTTGTGTCAATTGCTCGTGGTTCACGTATGAATGTGAAGGTTTCTGGCAAGACTTGATTGCTACGATGTGCGGTGGTTTAGTGTTCTTGCGATTGCTGTATCAGAAACTTCGGATTCTATGCATGGGTGACCAAGCTGTGCAGCAACAAGACGAGAGCGCAGCGTTAATGACAGCCGTGCGTACTCATGGTCGTACTATTGATGATGTGCGGTACGCGCCCATGGTACGTGCACTTAGTATGTCGGATATTACTTCGTCTTACATTGGGGTATGGGACAGGGTATGATCTCAGCTGAAGCCATGTTTGGCAGCATGTGCGAGTCAGATAACCGTCTGTAATCACTGAAAGATCTAATATCCGGAGCATGTTGCCTCGATCCTTTTGTTTTTGTTTAGCACTTAAATTATTGAGAGAGACACAACTCATGATTTTGGTAATATTTGTTTTGTGGTATTTTTCCTAATATACCAAAAAAGAGACCATATTCTTGCTTAACGGTACGATTTCTACAACAATACTCAAGACCAGATGACAACGAACTTACCTGCAAAATAAGTTAAATTTCAAGAGCGAGACCTCAAAGTGTCCGAAACTCCAGCACACTTGGTCTTACTATAGATGATGAGGTTTAGGACTACAATTTGTCAACCACATTGTGAAACCTCCGGACCCCCTTCCTTCAGTTCCACTGATTCCAGTCGGCAAATTTACTTAAAGAGCGGAATGTTAGGGACACAGACTCCGGGCACGGGCAATTGGGGGAAATCGTTTGGGCAACGCACAGACATGGATAGTGTACCACTTTTTGAGCGTGAGCACCGCAACGACAGTCAGTTGGTACAACGTCTACAGAACGAACTAGCAGACGCTAAGCGATTTGTGGAGGCACAAGCGCGGCGACAGAACGATCTTGAGTATGTGAACGAAGATTTGGAGCGTCGTCTTGAACAGGAAGCGCTTGAGCGGATTACATTGGACGCTCAGAAGGCAGAGGATGAAAAGTAAGTAGCGAAGAATTCGTTTTTTTGTTATTTTGGTCATTACGACAATGAAAGATATCGTTTGGAACTCATAGCAATGTGATATGATAGACGGTGGCAACGGGAGAAAGTTGCATTGCAAGAGCAACTTCAAACGTGGGAAGCGCGATTTGAGGAAGAAACTCGACGTCGTTCTATGGCCGAAGAGAGACTTCGTCGGGCTGAGAAGGAGCTCTATCGCATGCATCAGAAAAAATATGACATTGAAAAGCAAGTGCGGCGTGAAGAGAGTGAGAAACGCAAACACGAGGCTGTTATCGTGCGTAGTCTTCAATCTGATTCCCAACGCGCGCAACTAAACGCTGCGAGTGGTTTCCTAGACCCGACAGTCAATCCGAAAGACGCTAAACCGGCGGCAGTACGCACGCGACAGGCGCTATCTTCTGCTATGGATTTTTTGGGAGTTTGAAGGTAACGATAGATCAAACTGCAGACGGAAAGTTTCAGCGCGGCAATGATTTTGCCGGAAGGTTGTATTATTTGCTGGGTCAAAAAGATGACCTTCACTCTCTGGTCAAGTCTCTTCAAAAGACGGGCTGGTTAGCGAATCCGGGAAATGGAAGCAGTGAAGAGAGTTTAAATGAGTAGGAGAGGAGCTCACGTCGTTGAAGAGTTGTGAGCTTAAATTTGGTGGCATGTATCATAGCAGAACATTACGGGAGGGGGTTCATTCGCCACTTGCATATAATTACTTTTGCCTCTTATCTTGTCCATTTAGACAAGTGTTCTTTATATTGCTAGGATTAAGTCTTGCCATCTGTTATAGCAATGTTAATATGGCTACCTTATTTCGCGACTGTTAAAGTAGTGAAAAGGAAATATTGCGTTTACGCTGCGTAAGAAATGACATGGATAATACTTCAGAATTGAGACTTTACTTTGCATGCGAATTGTGCGGTATGTGTTGTAAAAAGAGAGTGAAAAGCTCAGTTGAGTCAGATGTTATACTCCAAGCAAGCGAGATAATTCCAGGCTCTATACCACAATTTTCGGACGTTACTTTAAAGCGAAACAAACGCGCACAACAAAAAGACTGTACTGCTTCTTCCAAGCGACACCACATACTTCAATCGCAGGCATCCACAGAAGGTCTTCTTGCTGTCTTGTCGTCGCACAGTCTTTCACCACAGACGAAGCAATTGCATACCAGAAACATGCCACTTGTCGTCGACACGATTTATTCTCCAGTGATTACTTCAAAACATGCATGCCAGAGTTTTCTTGAGCCAGAGAGCAATACGCAGCCCAAACAAGCCGTTTTACCTGTCCAGACTCAGCAGGTTCTAAGCTGTTACTCTGACGCTCATTCTCCATACGACCGCAACATGGTGCAGTTTTCAGGTCTGTATGTCGTTCGTGGTCCTACAGCGCCGAAACATTTGCGATATACTATGGAAATTACGATCGCAAAATTGCACTTACGATCACGCTGTATCCAGCGATTTCAGAGCTTTTTCCTCCTACGAAAACGTCTCCTCAAGATCCTCAAGACTCGATTGCCATCTCGCAAAACATTATTGGACGAAACTCCGTTCATTTCGGCCAATTATGAACTTGTGGAATTTCTAACGCGTCCTCGGTCTATTCAGTGTCACGAATGTGAGTCGACATACCGTCAACTTGCTTCAGTGAAATTTCCGCGTCGGACTTTGCTATCTCCAAGTAGTCAAGATGTGCAAGAACGTTCTCAGCTGCTTGAGACGTTTCTTGACCATTGCGTGCAAATTGCTACGAGGTGGGCAGCTTGCCAGCGCAGCAAAAGAATGTTTGTTGCGACTCTAGGTACGTTCTTAGGGGTTGATCTAACGACTCTTCTGAACAATCAAAAGGAAGTTTTGGAAGTTCGTTGCGTCAAAGACGAAAAGAACGACTTGGCTTTGACCAAAGCGAATGATGGTGCGATGCTGTCGCCATCTCTTCAAGATAAGAGCGATCATGGTGACGATTTCAAAGATGACCGGCACTCAGAACCAAACTTTACCTTCATTTCCGACTTGTCTGGACATAACAACGTTAAGCGTAGCCAGTCGCATCGCTGACGTTTCTAATTCCTTGCGTGTGATGTTGCTCTTTACATTTTATTAAGCATCCTGTCGTTTTATTCACATTATTACATTGTACTTGTGTAACGAATGCCTGTTCACATATGAAAGCAATGTTTGTTATACATCACTATGAGGATCAAGTTTTCACTAGTGTAAGAACTAATTAAAGCTAGTTGAGGGATAACACGTATTTTTAAGCCTAGCGATGGTCAAAAGATACTTTAAGGTAAATCGTCCTTGTTGATTTATGTTCTGGGGCAGATCAAAGCAGCCCATATCCGCGATAGATATGACATTTCCCGGCAAGACAAAATTTGTGAGCCGCATGTAAATCCGTCTTGTCACAGGGTGATAAAATTTTTAGCCAAACACGCAGTGACGGGCTCACCATGCGGAGCATTGAATGTTCACAAACTGTAGTGAATAAGGTCGCTCACTTGTAAATGAGGTAGTAGAAGAGGATTTTAGTCTTTCATCTCCACCCCAGGTTGAAGTATTCGTAAGCCTTAGATAATTATTTTGGGGATTGAGGGAGGAGTCATTAAAAACAAAGAGATCACCAAATTGATACCAATAAATCACGAAGCGCAATATCCATTTTCAGTGGGTTCGTTATCGAGAATACGACGACGCGGCGATAGAAGACGCACCGCATATCAGGTGTTTGTTGCAAAAGTGGCCTGATTCCTGGAATTAATTATTGTGTGACACGCAAATGGCCGCCACCAAAGAATAGTATTATAGGCGCTTTCAGTCGTGCGATGCACGAAGAGGGTTTAATGGGAGAAAGTAAATCGTTCCACTCTGCTGTGTCAGGCAATTCGACCGCAAAAAGTAATAGATGAAAGTCTGTCACAATCCTGGCGCAAATGCAAGAAAGAATGTGCTGCAGAACAGCAAGTCCTTTAAAGTCTTTGATAGTTCTTACGCATAATTGAGTCAGTGATAACCCGAACTGCAGTGGTTACCTCTGGCATGGTGCTCATTGGCTGATTATCTCAAAATAGACTGAATACGCGCCAGCGACGTTCAACCATCTGATGTCAGGGCGTTAAGGCCACATCGTTAGATAATTCAAAAGTTTATTCGTCCATGATTGTGCAAAGCATGGGAAGTCAAAACTAAATATCGAAATGAACACTTGCGAACAGTGCTCAAATTTACGTGCTTGGACAGGTGCAGATTTGCGCTGACAAAATACCGATTTCTTGATGCTTCATTCGCAGGCATGGTCTGATACTAAGAGCTGGTTATATTTAGCTTAGCGTGAGCGTTGCAAGAATCAAGACTTC